GCAAAGAGCAGATTGAACATAGAGGCTTCAAGCCTAATCTACAATGTGCTCTTTGCGCCTAGAAACATTCTATTTCATATAAACAAATTGAAACGCTTATAAAATTTGTCGACGATGCACGATTGTGTACAGTGCATAATATACAGTTTATCCACCCGCGCATTTTTTTAAACCGCATTTATCGAATACAAAATAGAATGTTTTTAGACGCAAAGAGCACATTGTAAATTAGGCTTTAGAAGTCGGAATAGAAAAGGAACGCGGGTCGAGGCGAATTCGCTCTCCGCGAGGGGGTCAATCCAACGAATGACTGAGAAATTATGGGTCTCTGGCGGAGACCTCGACGCGACGGTCGCACGCGAGGAGCGGCCAGCACGCCCGGCCCGGCTCGCGCCGCGCCTCACGCACACGTACGTCACCGTCGTCGTCGTCGTCGTCGTCGTCGGCGCCGCGCGACGTAACGCGACGCCGACGCGTGTGCACCAGTCGCGCACGGCGACGCGCATGGACGAGGCGCGCCGACCGCATGACGGCGCCACGAGAAACGGCGTCGCGACGCTGTCGTCAGGCGGCGCCGGTCGCGGCGAAACGTGGCGGGGTGCACGGCGCGGCGTGGAACGGTCAGGCGCCGCAGGCGGCGGGTAAGCAGACGGGAGAGTAGCGCGTTCGTCGCGTCGCCGCCGAGGACGACGACGACGACGACGACGATCGTCATCGGGCCGGTTTGAGCTCTCAGTCGCCGCGCGTCTCGCTCTCGTCCGCCCTCGCTGTTCCCAGAGACTCTCGCTACGAGCGTCCGAGTGCGAGCGCGCACACGCGCTCCTACCCCGTCCTGCCTCTATCGCGTCTCCTCTCCCTCACCCCGTGGCTCTCTGTCATTCATATCTCTTTTTCCGTCTGCACGTTCTCCCGGCGCGACGCTGTCTCTCTCTTTCTCACTCTCTCTTATGCGACGCTCACCGCTCGCCGTCTACACCCAGTCTACGGTCGCTCGGGTCGGCCGGCCGCCGGCGAGGAGACTGCCGCTCGGAACCCCAGCCCGAAGAAGAGCCGGCCTAATCTAGAGAGAGCGGCCGGCGAGCGAGCGTGACTACTCGAGCGTGTTACGTTGTACGCGCGTGGTGTGCTCGCGCGATGCGTCGGCGCCCGCGCCCGCGCCCGCGTGTGTCGTGCGTGTGCTACTGCGTGTGGCATCGTGCCGGCGTAAGACGATCCATCTTCCTCCGCGCGCGTCATCGTTCTCGCCGGTTCGTCGCCTCGACGCCGTCCTGCCGCCAGTGACTGGGCTAATCGAGCTCCGCGGAGCGATCCTCGCATGGCTGTCGACGAGGAGGCGACGCTCGGAGCCGCGCCGGCGGCAACGAGGAGGTACGACGTCGCGACGCCGCGGTCTCGTCGCGCGAGTTTTGAGCCCGGTAGGAGAGCGATCGAATTTCCGCGCGAGCGCTTTGTGTACGCGACTCGATTCACCCTCAGGGAATCCCGAGCTTCTCTGGGCAGCCAGTTGCCGCTGGTCGGAGGGAGTTTTTATTCTTTGAGCGAGCTCTCGCTCACGTGCGAAACGACGACCGTACGTGCCGTGTCGGCGCGAGTGCCGGTCGGTCGATTGCGTGCGCCAATCCTTTTGAATCCTGCGAGATAGGTGTGCGTGTGTACGTGCTAAGATAAATTAACTCTTTATTTTTAGCCCCGTCGCTTTACGGCCGCCCAGTAATCAAAACTTGTTTCGCCGACGCTCTTTTTATATAATTGGACAGCTTTTCAGACAACTTAGCGGTCTTTGTGTCTCGTAATTGAGAGATGAATTACATAAGTTTCGTACGGGGGAAAATACACGGCGAACGACATTGCGCGGCTCAATTAGCGATTTACAACACGTTAATTATATCCTTAGAAAGATTCAGCTGTTGGACGCTCGATATTAAAATGTAAACGGGACAGATCATATTTTCGTTATAGATTCACCACGAAATTCCATTTACGGAAATATTTCGCGACAGCTACGCGGTATTTATGTTTCAATTGTACAACGTAAATTGACGTTTGTTGATGCAATTAAATCAATAATTAATGTCATCTGCGCGAGCAGCGTTCAAATGCTATATCATTATCGCGCAACTCCGTAGATATCGATAGATTGAGTCATCCTCCAATTTTTTTCTATTAAAATTCCAATCGTGTCGTTTAATATATGAGCAGAATAATCGAATGAGCATTGCGTCTATCTACGGCGATGCTCTCACGATCGGACCAAGCGAATCATATACAATGAATCACAACAATATTCATACAGTGGCTTCAAACGGTCGATATATCTTCCGAGATCATTTTTATGGAGGAGAACGTGTACTGTATTAATTAATTTCGCAGAACGATAAATTTTATAAACGAATTACCAATTTGTAACAGATACAAGAAATTACGGCAAAGGTATTCACCAACTTGGATACCACGCGGTTATCAAGAACGTGGAATTAATATTATAAGTAATCGATGAATCGTTCTTGGATTTAATTGTACTGTTTAGATGATCTCGACGAATTATACGTATATACATTTTTCTTTTCTGAAGCGACACCAATATTCCGGTTTTATCTCCCTTCAATGTTAATCATAAATATTCGATGTTTCGTTGAATCGCTTGCTGAATTTAATTCAACATTTTTAGATGATCTCAACCAATTATATGTATACATATTTTGTATACGTATTATCACGAGACATGGTACTTAGTGTCTCGCGCGCGAGACCGACCGTGGGCTTGTTTTCTGTTCCTGCACTGGTGAACTAGTGCAGTAAGCTAGAATGAGAAAAAATATACTTGTCTTACTCCAATTTATTGCACTAGTTCACCAGTGCAGGAACAGAAAACAAGCCCCGTGTAGTTTACGCGAGTTGACGGGCCCTTAGATTTTCGGATCTCAACAACGGCTGATCCGATGACATTCGAAGTGCGCTCAATCGATAGCTTGGGTTCGATTTGCATAATAAAAGTGTTTTTACATGTATATCCCCACTAATGCCTAGAGGGGGATTACTTTATCTTATTTATCTTGTTTTATCTTATTTAATCTTATTTTATCTTTATAATGCCCCAGCAAGGTCTAATGTTGAAACTAATGTCGAAAAAATGCCCAGCAATGCCGCAAATCTGTACACCGCAATACACTCGGCGGTTTCCCCCTCGGTGTTTTTCCTTTCTGAAATAACACCAGTATTCTGTTTTAATCTCCATTCAATGTTAAACAATCGATATCTCGTTGAATCGTCCTTAGATCTAATTCTACTTTCATATTTTTTTTCTGAAGTAACATCAGTTCTGTTTTTATCTCCATTTTAATTATCCCTATAGATCGGGAACAATTAGTTAATTAGTATTACACATATATCTGTGACAATTTTGTCTTCTACGAAGATGTCAATCGGTTGAAGTCGCGAGTCAGGCGGCCAGAAGGGACGGTCGAGCTGGATGAGAAGTACAAACACCACTGTGACTCATTGCGTGCGCGTACATGAATGCGCTCACCCGCCGCGGGAGAGACGCTCGCTACGGCGTGCACACACGCGTGTGCACGCTCGTGTTTCATTTGAATCCTAACGAGACGGACGTGCCATGCCATTCCTCCTGCATGAGTCCTGTTATGTACAGGTGACCGTCGCCGACCGTCGCGCGGCTCGGTGCTTCCTAAACGCCGTTCGCCTTGCGAGGTGGTGTGCGCGCGAACGACGTACGAACCTTTGAACCATAGAAAGATACACGATGCACAACATAACGTACAATGCGGCGGAGATTATGACGTTGCGCGAGATGAAACGGGAACGCTCGAGTCCGTCTCTCCTTCGTTCTCTTTCATCTCGCTTTCGCGGCCGCGTAAGATCCGTTGCGTCAGCATTCACGGTCCTTTCCTGTTTATTCGATAAAGAACCTCGGAGATTAGCTAATTGTAAATCATCTGTCGTTAAATACGGTTACACCTTAGGGTATAACGTTTTCTAGTCTTACGAAGTGGAAAAAGGTAAGGCCCGATTTCACCAACGACCCTTAACTTTAGCTTAATTCGTTCGCTTTCTCTTTCCAACTGTTACTTTAGAAAGAGACAAACGTGAATTAAACTAACAATAAGATTAAAGTTAAGCGGTGTTTAGTGAAACCGGGTCTAAAGTCTGGTTTCACCAACGTTGTTTAACTTTAAGCCAAGCTTGATTCGTTAATTCTTTGTCTCTTTCCAACTGTTACTTTAGAGAGAGACAAACGTGAATTAAACCAAGATTAAAGTTAAGTGAGACGACGTTTGGTGAAACCGGGCCTAAGGCCCCTTAACTTTAATTCACGTTTGTCTCTTTCTAAAGTAACAGTTGAAAAGAGGCAGGGAACGAACTAAGCTAAGCGTAAAGTTAAACAACGTTGGTGAAATCGGGCCTTCGAAGTAATTTAAACCGAGATTAAAGTTAATCTGCATTGGTAGAAACGGGCATTAGAGGATATTCCGTTCTCTATGGTTAAACGCGAATTGCAGGACGATTCAAGCGATTGACATCCTCGTAGAAGGCAAAGTTGTCACGGATATATAGAGGAAAGTCCTCTATTACGAGACAGAGGCTTCTAATATGAGATAGCAGCTTTTCAACATCAAAATTTAGTCGCAAATCTTTATTCCCAACGACTACACGATCTAACAATGAATTTTCCACCAAGCAAATTTCGCTCCAAGCAATGAATTCATATGGTAGAATCAACAGCCGATGCCTATTAATTTAACAGAAACCCCGCTGTCTCATATTAGGAGCCTATCACAATAGCGGACTTTACTATTTCTTTCGATCTATATAAATATTATAAATAATCAAAATAGAGGTAAAAACAGAATTGATGTAACTTCCGTAAAAAAACATGCACGTGTATAATCCGTCGAGATCATCTAAAAAGTAGATCTGAGGGCGATTTTTTTTACAACATCGGGACTCGTCGGAGCAGGACAATCGTTAGTGCTCGGTATCAAAGAGCACGTATTACTGTCGACGGAAATGTGTAACAAACGTGTAACCTAGAGAAAAAGTATAATGATTTTCTAATTTAATAACACGCGTGTCGCGCGAGCCGACGCGCCGCGGCCGCGGCTGCGGTCGGCGATAAGGCCGGGGCGTCTAAAAGCGAGCCGGCGCGGCGCGAGGATGTGGATTTCGCGTGCGGATGATGACGTAGACGTGATACGCCCGCGGTGGCGTAGAAATTGATCGGTTACGTTGTTGTGCGAGAGCCTTTAACCCTTCGCCTTCGGTTTAATTACCGGCACGCGAGCCCTCGTCCGGCGAACGGTGGCGCATTAAAGAGCCAGCTCGTTTCGAAAATCAATCCGCGCGCCAATTTGCGAGCCCTGCGATGCTCGGTCTTCCAAGGGCCCGAATCCTTCGAGTCACGCCGCGGTCTCGCAATAAGAAATCCTATCTTTCCTTCTTTGTCTCGCCGACTTTGCTCCAACAGTCTAGTTTCCATCGCTGTAAAAATATATAAAAATATGCGTAGAACGTTCTTTGCTAAATATGGTTCTTATGAATATGTATATTTGCGAGTCGACTCCAAGTCAATTTTCCTTTAGCGAAAATATCGAAGGAGATAAATATCTAAACGGAGAGAATTGACTTTTAAAGTTTAGCGAAAATAACAGAGGCGATAAATATCTAAACGGGGAGAAGTGATTTTTGAAGTTTAGCGATTCAAACTTGGTTAAAGAATCTGCGCCAAGTAAGTCAGCACACGGAGAGAATTTTCTTTTAAAATTTACTGAAAATCATAATCGTGGGACAACATGGCGTTTCGAAGAATTTTATAAGTTTTTAAAATTTCAAAATCTTGGAGTTTTCATGTATACACAAATGTTTATAAAAATTGAAGTACTATTGCAACAGCATATTCTCGACACCAAATCAAGTAAAAAAAATCCCGTATCATTTTTCCTCACGATAAACATTATCGAGTTATCGTATGATGAATATTGAAAAAGTTGCCAAGTTTTCTTTGAATATCTCAAAAATTATTAGACAAATGAAAAAATGTTTCAGACAAAAGTTGTTCCAATTAATTAATAAGAAAAGATGATATAATAAGAAATTAAGGTTTCCGTTTAAAAAATTCAAGGTGACCTTCACGTGATCTTCAAGCAACTATTCAAGATCAAATTAATGACACCATCTTATGTCCCCCTTGAAACCATATAACTTTTGTCTCAAACAATTGTTTCTAAAATGCATAGTTTTCGAAAAATTTAGGGGTTTCCACACTTTTTCCTCGCCCTGTACACAAAAGATATGTATGCGTATCTGCAACAACTCGGCAGCAATTTTCAAAACGTTTTGCAATACAAGCGCGAGCTTTACAAAACGTTCAGATAACGTCCTACGTCATTATCAATACGTTCTCGTATTCTCGCTCCGCGCGCTCACGTAAACGCATTAACACCTACGGATATGTACTCCTTAGTTTGACGCTCGGGAATCGCTAATGCAACAAGAATACGCGCCGCAGGCCTCTCGAGCGTGGCGTAGGAGGAGCCCGCGGACTCGTCTTCGTGAATGTCGCGTGAATCCGAGAACACTCACGCGATACTCGCGGCGATATGAAGACGTAAAACGTTCCACGGTTTCGTGTGAGTGCGGAATTAACCCACTTTGTGCGACTAATTTGAAATTGAGTAGAGCATTTCGTGTATTTCGGCGTACACGGCTCGTCTCATACATTACGATATTACGTGGGCCCGATTACGATGTAAATAACTGATACCGCGTGCACACAATACACGCTATACGCGATCGTGTAATATTTGTTGAGATAGATTTGGGCGGTGATTGCGTACGGGCGGATAATATCAATTTAGATAACATCAGTTGTCGACATTACGCAGATATACATAATGTATAAAGCGCTTCTCGCTGACAATGAGCGCGATTATTTCCACGCTACTTCTCTCGAAGTCGCGGATCCTTCGGTCAGTCTCGAGTCGATTGTTGACTTTGAGGGAATGTCGAGGTATTCGTAGACTTCGTCATCCCCTCAAAAGAGAAGGCAGTCGAGCTACCGTATCTTTACACGAATTTATTTAATTGCAGGTATCTGTCGCAGTGTTTGACACGCGAAGAGCGGAGCTAAACGGGTGAACACGATTCTAAATCTCTCAGGATAATGCGCGTACTGACAATTGATGATTTTATCGCATGGACCGGAGTGAATAATTTCTCATTTGCGACGGGCGGTAAGAGGGCACCGAAGGAGATGCGTAACGTGATGAAATAATTGGACGTATGTATGCAAGAAAAGCTCCACTACTCTCACTTAGCCTTGTACGAGTGAAACGAGAGTGCCCCCCGATGCCGAAAAAGGGGCAATTTCTGCCAAACGTGCCCGATTCCTGAAGGGGCATGCCAGAACATTTTCGTTCGTTCACGTAGACTCGCGTAAGAATTTCTTGGCTAGAGAAACCATGGAGGATATAAAAGTGCCGAACCTAGGGCAGGCCGCGTCGGCCGCGTGCTCTATGGCGACGAATTTCCTGGCGCCGGTGAAGACCGAGCGCCAGATCTACGAGAATTCGATGCTCGAGGACGATCCCAATGCCAACTCGGTGGTGCCGACCTCGCAGGAGGACAGAACCGTGCCCAGGTGGGGCCCGAATCACAAAGGCGCCCAGGAGCTCGCGAATCTGTACAGCACCGGTACGTAGCGCCCCTTGTCTCGCCGTCGCTTCGTGCCCGAAATCGACTGTCCTCGTTTCCCGTATCTCTGCAAGCATTTTGTATTTGCATAGCGATAACAAAACACCACTGTCCTCCTTAAAATTTATGAGTTGCCAAGAATCTATTATTTATGGTATACACCTTAAAATTTTTGCCTCATCACGAAAATAAAAGAAAGCGATATTCGTCAGCGTGCAATGATTTATGTAGGATTTCAATGAATTTTTAAGAGGCAAATGCATGGACGCACCTTTTACCGTTTCTGTTTTAGCGACTCCCAGAACTTTTCGACAGTCTGCTTTTACATATATTGCTGTGAAAAAATTTATATGTTAAATATTTATATATTAAAGACAAATATTTATGATAGAAATAATTACAATAAATTGTACTGACAACGGTACTTCCAGGGAAGAGAACACAAGAGTGCATCTGCGTGGGAATCTGCATCACTCTTATAGCCGTGAACTCTTTGTTCGTGCTCATCAGGTTACGACTGGAAAATTTTAGTTCCATAGCAATAGCTGCACTGTGCGGTATCATCACGGCCGACTTTGGCTCCGGTCTGGTTCATTGGGCCGCGGATACCTGGGGATCCGTTGAACTTCCGATTCTGGGGAAGGTGAGGGCGTCTGGAATGTAGAAACGAGCCAGTGCTTGCGGAATGAAATTGTAATTTACAAAGAGCTCCTTTTCTCTCTTTCTAGAATTTTCTACGACCATTTCGCGAGCATCACATAGATCCCACCAGTATAACGAGACACGACTTCATAGAGACTAACGGTGATAATTTTATGGTCGCGATACCAGTCCTGTCCAAACTCACATGGGACTTTCTAACGTTGCCTGAAGTGGAGATGCAACAGAAGTTCGTGTGGACGTGCTATTGGTTCCTGCTTGCCATTTTTGTAGCAATGACTAATCAGGTAAATCTCCAATTAGAGAAATACGTATATCTCGTAAATATTTTAGCTCCAGCAAAAATCGTCTTTTAGAGTATTAACGGTGTGATTTAATTTTAATTAAACGTAATATTTACGCGAGAGTGCGCTCCTCCATAAATCACTGTGCAATTAATGGATATACAATGTACTTTTTAGATACACAAGTGGTCGCACACGTATTTCGGTTTACCCACCTGGGTTATATGGCTTCAAGAGCACAGGATTATCCTGCCGAGGAAGCATCATCGCGTGCACCACGTCGCGCCCCACGAGACTTACTTTTGCATCACCACGGGATGGCTGAACTGGCCTTTAGAAAAACTTCACTTTTGGTACATTCTGGAGGTGATAATTGAGTGGTCCATCGGCTGTAAACCCAGAGCCGACGATCTGAAATGGGCGCAAAAACGCTCTTGAGAATTAATAATTGTCCTCCCTTCGCTATTGTACATTTTACTATACGATCGAGATATCGAGATCTAACGTTCGGCTAAACGTCGGAAACACAACAAATCACAAACATCGAACTGTGAAATAGAGATTAAGTGGAAGATTTTTATGGGCAATAGTAAAAAAAAAAGAGAAGCTTGTATACATGGAATTCTTAATTGTTCGAAGAGGTATCGAGTATATATATATATATAAATATATATATAAATATATAAATACTTCTTTCTTTTCGTACTGTGAGGCCTTTTCTCTGAAGACAAAGTGTACAAGGATAATAGCATTACTCGATATGCTTTTAAAGTTTACACGTTTTTAATACGTACGCGCAATAATACGTGTATATATTATATACATATACATATATATTATTATATACATGTACGACAAATAAGGAATAAGCATAAATTTCAGAATCACGCTTACCAAATTGCAATCTGACAAGTCTGTCAACACCACTATGTCGATAACGTCTTTGTGTACCGCACAATCATCGGCGTAAATTGCACAAACTATAAACATTTATTTTAACACGATATACAGAGCAATTCGAGAGGCAACCGTGATATTAAGAGCCAGATACGAGGCGTAATAATAAGCTGAAATACCTCATATTTTTTTAAAAACATGATTGCATTTTTCTAATGTGTGGTTACGCAAACAAAAGTAAATATTATAAAAATTATATGCTAATATACATGATAGATACGCACATATATATTTATATATATATGATTTCTGCGTATACATATATCTATATACATACACACACATATACATAATTCGATTATTAATTATATAAACATATTTGGCAATTATCGATTAAGGCAAAATCAATTATGAAGAATATTGTTTATATTAACGTTTAAACATTATTAAGGAAATCTGTTTTCTCTTTTTTTTTGTTAAAACGCAACTACAACGCTTATCGATAAGTGCTCCAATATCATCTCTTACACAAACAAAATTAAACTCCCTGAACCTCCCGGAACATTTACATGAAATTAATCAAAATCCTGTTTTTCCATATACATTTAAAATTATCAAAATTGCCAATGTCAAATTTTCGCAATTGTATATTCAGTGCTTGGGCCTAGTATTTGAATCATTGACCTTATATACTAACAATAAGTCCATGATTCAACGACACAATTTTTCAATTTGTAAATATTTTTTTACACTTCGTCAAAGGACGCCAACGAAGTCGAATATAAAAAAAATTTTATCACGTTTCCGTCTTGCGATAATTTAAATTTTTTCTCACGTATTTCTTAACTTTTATAAAATTGGCAATCAGGTTCTCTCTTTCTTACAAGGATATTGATTTTATCATTAAAACCTGGGGCTAAGAACTGTACGGTCGACGTTAGACTGCCTGTTATTGTGTGTTTTGCTTAGCAACAAGACGCATGTCTAGTCTAATGTGCATGTCTAATGCATGTTGAACAGAACAACACGTGTAAACATAAGTGGACGAATCTTATTATAGAGAAATAATATAAACAAAGCAGAGAAATATAACAGAAGCATATGAATTAATAACAAATTTTTTTTAATGAGTACGTGCTACGAAGGACTTGGTTACGCGACGCGCATATTCCTTTACACACTGATTACACTTCTTAGCTCGCAATATGTAATCAGAGGAGAAAAATCTCGAGGTGCTATTGTAAGCATAAGTACGAGTCGTAGGTTCAGGGACCAAAGACAAGACTTATCGCTCTATCTTGTAACGATTTTCTCAACGCTTGATCTAATTTAAGTTAAGTATAACGATGCAGTTTACTGTACATACCGATGCGTCCAAATTTGGCAATGTTTTTGCTTCTTTTACAAACGCTTCTGCGCTTGATATCGAAGATTTCAACTGCATCGCCGCGGATACGTTCGGCATATTTTATGTAGAACTTCACCGTGATCTATGTTCCTCACACGCAAATCAGTAATAATGTCCTCTGAACGAAATAATATTTATAAGAAATCGCAGTTATTGTAATTATTGTACTCATTGTTATTGTTGTTGTTGTTATTGTTGTAAGAGACAGAGTGCAAAGTTTAAGTGAAAACTTCATCAGGTAAGAAAAACTCAGTCAGGTCTGCAACTTCCTCATTCTTGTTTACGACGCGCGAATCATTCAACATTCGTCGTGAATTATTGACGCTTGCTGTGAAACATTAGATCCAAAGAGATAAATTAATTTATTTATTTATTTACGCATAAATCACACGTACGAAATGTAACACAGATTCTTCCGTTTCTTTCTTGAATCCTCTCACACGCGACGCTTTTACAAGTGAGTTGATATAAAATAATTTTATAAATGTCTCAAAAGTCGTGAATGTTTGTATCAAATTCTGATTTATGTGGGGGAGATGAACGTGCTTTATATAATAATAAATAACGAGAAAACAAAGCTACAAAAAAATGTGAATTCCGTTAAGTAAATGCGAACGAAAGACGGGAAACGTTTACTAGACCATACAGAACGCTGCTAATCAAATGTTAGAAATTTGTAACACGGGTAGAAACGTAGAATTATTTACGTGCAAAACGGTAATAGAAAATTGGTAAGAATCTATTGGGCTAATACATTTACATTCCAGAAATTTTTTTTTGAAAGAGCATTCGAAGAATCAGTTGTTTAATTATAGTAATATTACTAGTGAATAGCCAACACGTATGTTACCTATTGAATTTGTTAAACTACGGTCATAACTATAAAATGATGTCTGCTCGTTTACTCCGACTGTGACATTAACAATACTAAAAAAATGTACAACGTTTTATTTCCGTTCATATGTTTTGCCCACTTGCAAGCAGCTCCGTAAGGGAGATAAAAATTTCGTTTCGCTTGGCTCTCGTAACAATGAGAGTGAAACCTAGTTAAAATGCGCCGAAGGAGAACTTGGGTATAACACAAGAAATTTGTGCAGTTATAAGCGACAATGCAGTAATACATTTGGAAATTAAGATCAGAGCGTGTCCGATCTTAAAGTTAAATTCGTAGTGGCGAAGCGTAAGTTGCGAGGAGGAAAAAGAGATGTGAATTCAGGTGTACTCTAAAAATATGCCCGCAAAATATTTATCTAAATAAGTTACCGCGCGCGACAACGCATATGTATAAGAAAATAATCGAGGAGAGGTAAAGCCAAGTGAAGTGAAGCCGTTGCAGCTGTACCGCTATTTTCAAACGATCGTAACTGCGCGTCTCGACCACGCATTGCGCTAATTGTCTTAGTCGTTCGATATACTTTATTCCAAGGTCCGTTTCTACTCCGAAAATATCTCGCCGAATGCGTTAATCGAATATTCTTTTAAACGTGACGTCACGACGTTGACATCTCGTTTGTGCTCACCTTTCCTTTCAAGCCATGTAACTCGAGCCATTTCGCCCAAGTCTCGGCACAATTAAATAAGTACTAAGAGACGTTACATTAAGAGCAATCGACGCATCCGCTGCTGCTGAAAGTACAAAGAGAATAAAAGACAAGCCGTCGCTTCTAAGCCTGCATATTACTAACGTATTTTATATTCATTGTAAAAACACTTTGCATATGTTACCTATGCGCATCTCCTTTTGCATAAGCGTACGTGTATTGGATCACCGACAACGACTAATGACTAATTTTGTGGTGTAATCTCAGCGTTTCTTTGTTCGAATTGTCAACGGATTGAATATTGTTTTTGTACTCGTTTCTCTTTCTTTTTAGTTTTTAGTACAACTCGCGTGAAACACCAGCTAGGAGAGCAATTCGAAACAGAAATCAAAACGAGCCACGACTTTTGTATTGCCCCAAGTACGTTTTTTGATAAAATCTATCGTCGATAGATAACTGATATACGAAGGTCGTAATTGCAATGAAATAGAAGCGTTTGAGTAGCTTGTCGCATAGGAAACAGGTGCATGTTGAGGAATGGACTGAGGACTATACATAAATAGATGCGGAGCGTGACAATTTTAATTCCTCCGCGCGATTAAAATGAAGCCAGACGACTGTTCAGGAAAACTATTTGATCAAAGTTATTTCGTTCCGAAAGGGAACCTTTTATTACTTATTTCTTATAACTACTTTGTTGTAGAAATTTGCTAGATTTTAATAATGAAAAAAAGTCGTTAGCAAATCTTAAAATACGAGTCCTATCTAGGATGAAACTTCTATTATAATCATAAGATATCCTCCTCAGAGGAGGAAGGAAGCTCCTTGATTTACATATTTGATCTAATACACTTTTTTTTCAACAGTCGCTGGAACGTAATTGCCGGGAGGAATTGAATCGGAAACGCGCTGTGCAAACATTTCTCTTTGTAGAGCGACAGTATGAATTTTCTATAATTGTAAATTTATAGATTCGATAACACGACAGCCGTCTAAACCTAAACGATACATCGGGATGCCTTTGATATTGTCGAAGTAATAAAGGGGGGGGGGGAACTACCTGAGACTACTACGGAAAATCATGTATGCTGTTACAGTGTAATAAAAAATTTTATTCTAACTAGTCCGTTTCTCCCTCCGAGTGTGCGTCCTAGTAAAAAATGATTCGACATCGATCGACGAGTCGTTTCTCGCTGGGGCCCGATTTATGGCTCTTGCCGACTTTTGCAGATCAACGCGACAACACGATGTGCGACGTGCGGAAACCCAGGATGCTCTCCCGTAAAACTTGTACGCTCGTTGGATAATCGCGCGTCGCGTTGGTCTACAAAAGTCATTATTCGCCATTGAACGACAAAGACAGACGATGAAGATTCGATATTGCTCGAAACTGCTCCTCGTGACATCGTCGATTCTTCCCTAATGGCACAGTGCAGTTTATCATATATGCAGTTATTATATATGCAGCTAAATATTGGTTAATCATTGGCCCAATATTTGATTGTATTGGGCCAATGTTTAGCCAATGCACTGTGCTACCAGGGTCGTATTCGTTTGTAATTCGTAAAAGGAGAATCGATATAGTAGATTCTGTAATAATCATTAAAGGCCTATGTCCACGATGCTAGAACTTGATCCAAGTTCTAGTTCTGAGAGATATGTAGCCAATCAACTTGCAGCTTTTCTGTAAGAGATGCAAGTTGATTGGCTACACATTTTTCAAAACTAGAACTTTGACACAGTTCTTGGATCGTGGACACAAGGCTTTAGAGGAGCCTAAAGTCATCTTCTTTACAGACACATTCGAATATAGTTTTTGCGCTGGAAAATGTTTTCATTAGCTTTCATATGCACAAAATAATGCCAGAATAAGTTGCGGACCGCATAGCAGAACATTTTCATACATAAAACACTCGGGTCAGAAATTAATGAAAAAGATATAGGTATTTGAAATTTTCAATTCTTTCATCGTGAGCAATTTAAAATTGACTTGATAAAATTACAGAATTCTTCCACGCGATTATAGTACGCATAAAAACCAAGCGGGGGATTCACGACTTTATGTAAAGAACAAAGAGAAGTGCGAGACACGTGTAATTTATTGTCAAAAATATCTCTTTATTCAGTTTTATACCTTGATATCTTGGAGCGAACAGACGAATCATTTTTACATTTCTATGGGGAAGCAGCACAAACGAAACCCTTATTCCTTGGAATTCAGCAGATCTATGTACGCTTGCGCGATTAGATCTTCTCCTTTTACGAACAGTGCTTGCATGAGATCATTAGCGATCTTCTGTGCAGCTTCTACGTCCTGACCTTGTTGCATCACTACCTATATCAATGTATCATTGCAAATTGACTGCATCTCTACCGATACAAGGTGCACATAACGCAGTAAGTGGATCTACAAACCTCTAATTCTAAATAGGAACCTAAACCGTCGACTTGGTCAATGTGTATTCGAGTTTGCCCGACCTTGAACAAGAGTCTCGTCTTTTTAACGACTCCTAGCACACCGTTGGATCGGGACAAATTCTCCGTGACAAGTTTTACCATATCTGGGTTTATCTCTACCAGCTCGTAAGTAGACAATTTTGGTCCCGTGACGTCAGGTCGCTTATACGAAATTAATTGTCCAGTACCGTCCTACAGGGTGAGAAAGAAGTGCCTTGCATTAAGATAATAGTACAATAATGTAACGTTAAAAGAGAATCAAGACTTGTACGCTTTTTCTCTCTAATATTTGAAAGTACACGAATCCTCTCTCTCTACCTTTCATTAAAAGTTAATATATTATTCTAAGCACCGAGATATTTCAATTTGCTGAAAATGAATGCGCCAATTGAAAAGTTAATAATTACTCCTACCTTAAACTTTCGCAATTTCAACCTTCCTTCATCTGTTTTGAAAAATATATCGTGCTGCTCGATTATAGTCTGAGGGGCATCGCTCAGCTCTTTGGCTCTCGCGACGGTACGCTCAACATCGCGAATTACGGCTTTGATCTCAACGTTATTGTGCATGCTTAAAAACGTCCAGGTTTCCTAAAATTGACAGAAATGTTACAATAAATAAATATAATTAAGGCAATATGAGTCGTCACAGGATCGAAGGTGATCGGACGAAGTGTCGTCAATTTAAAGAAACAAAACGTGTTGACATATTATATATTAAACGTTTCGGTCATCTCAAGTGACCCTCTTCAGTAATATAAAAAGAAAGGAAAGAAAAGTATATTGTAACCTACTAAATTACGCTATTAAAATTTGGTGAGTCATGGTCTTACATTTCGTTAGTATGACATATTAGTTGAATTTCACGATAATTGCGCAATTCGGAGTCGATAGTATTACGTCTCACATGTCCACCGTGTCTTCAACATGGCACGTGTCAGCAGTCAGATACTTCTTTTGGTATCGGAAAGGTTGTCTGAACTCTGGCGTCAAAAATTAATAAATAGGACGTTACGCAAATGAAGTAAAATGTGTGTCAATAAATCAAAGTTAACTATAAAGTAATGTTGTATCAATTTTATAAAACTACATTGAGTCAAATAATAAGAGGCACTTACTGCGATATAGAGAACGTTGGACACATAAAACGTTTACAGAGTTATCGATGTGTGAGGTCGTTAAGTTCGTGTTTTACTGACGGTGTTTCATAATTGTGTTTGTATATATGTAACGTGATGTGTAAGAGTCATTTCCAATGAGAAAAGTGTGATTGGTAAGAGACAATATCATGGACGAATCATCGAGGAGAATGTTTTTACGTGTTATTTTAAATTCTTTAATTTTTCTAGCAGAGGAAGATATGAATCTCCAAGCAATAATGTGTCTGTCTGGAGGTTAATACCATTCCTCTGCTCAATTATGTGTAACATTTCTGAGACCAATCGTCTCATGTAAAATGGCTCTTTGTCTAATATTATCGTTTCGTCAAAATCAAATGCATGGTCATTAGTTAAACAGTGTTCATGTATCACTGAAGGGTTGTTGCGGTTTAATTTTTTGTGTTCTTTTATACGTGTCGAAAGTAATCTACTTGTTTATCCCGTGTATGTTGTATTACAGTCCTTACATTTGATTTGGTACACCACCTTAGACAGATGTGTAATGACAGATGTGTAGTGACAGAAATGTGTATTAGTGGATTCTTACAAAATCCTATCTGATCTATTCATTACATTTGGTTTACAATTCCACGTCCATCCGATTAAAAGATATTTAAGCCGAAAGGTAGACACTCTACGTGTTTTACTTGTACATTTGTATAATATTATAAAGCTATTATACAAATTTCTTTCCTGATATACGCACTTTGTTTATCTGTTGATTTCAAATGTCTAACGTATCTGATTTTTTACACCGGGTGTGTCTTTCAGGACTGCGTTTAGAAACGTCACCTGAGCGTCTCAGTGTCCTTTTATTCTTGTTGCTCACGTACGTTAACAAGGATAAAATGATAAACTGGGGCAATCGGGTAATGTTTTGAATGCAGGGACCACGGCCATAGACGCAACGGGCCGCGATTAGCTGACGAATCAGGTAAACCAATCAGGATTTGGTAAACTCCCTATTTAATATACAATCCAGTAGTTCACATCCACTTTGTCAGGCGGCGCGTCAAGCGTTGGAAAAATCAAAGCTTAGAACATA